TTGGTATGTGCTCTTCCTGGATGGAATGAAAAGTCACCACTTGACTACCAACAGCACTTCCCCCTCACCTGGCTGGTAGGTCTCCTTCCTACTGCCTACTGGTCATGTCTCAGGAAATGAACAAGGCCTCCACATTGGAAGGTCTACAATATGGCTTGCTCCTCTTAAGTGCTAGGCTAATTAACATTCTGAATTCTTGTGATTATTTCAGCTGCAATATGAATATATAAGATTTCAATGACATTTCAATTGATTGTGATTTCCCAATGGATATAGCATTTCAATATATTGTGATTTCCCAATAAAAAACACATCAATTAGAGACAGTACTCCTGCTTGGTGTCAGGGCCAGGGCCTGCCTGTGTCTCATATACATACATGCAGAATAGCACTGCAATTTCTTGTGATTCACCAATTGGAATAACATTTCCATTTACTGTGATTGACCAATAAAAACATCTGTGAATTTTTACTTGTTCCTGCTTGGTGTCAGGGCCAAGGCCTGGGCCTGCCTGCTAATTAGAGTTCAGGTGAGGGAGGCCCCTCCTTGTTTCATATACATACATGCATGGCTAGCACTGCAATTTATTGTGATTCACCAATCAAAAAAATCTGTCAGGTCCTCAGGGCCAGGACCTGGGTCTGCATGAATAACATTTGTAATTATTCTGATTTACCAATGGAAATAGTATTTCAATGTATTGTGGTTCACTAATCAGAATAGCATTTCAATGGATTTCAGCTATTGTTGCTACACTTGCAAAAGTAGTCATCAGATGCTGTCTCATTTAATGAAAAAAATATTGACTTGTTCATCTATATGCCTATGCATAACCAAATGCTGTTGGCTCTGGTCTACACTTTACCTCTACTGTTACATAAGCTATAAACACTATACACTATTACAGTCCCTCCCTCACTCAAAAATAATGCAAACAAAAGCAAAGTACATAAAGAAAAATAATCTCTGATGCTCTTAGTAGAACAATTGTAAGTAGTCGATGCTAGCTATTAATATTAAGTTCTGAAATTGTGAATGATAGCTTTTGTGTTATTTTTGGTCTGCCCTGCATGGGCAGGTGAGTGGTTTCTTAGTGAATGCTTGGATTCATACAAATGTAACTCACTCATGGTTTTAGTATTGAAAAGAAAAAAGTGTAAATAAAAATCATTATAGGATTGTTAAAAGACTCCTGTATTTTGTGAAACTATCTTGTATGCATGCACACAGCTGACCCACTGTGCCCAAACATTAGGCCCAGGCAGAGTTGCTAATTGAACTCTTTCACATGTTAAGAAAGTCTCTCTCCTGCCTGCCCAGTATTGCAGCTTGCCTGTTGGGCTTGGGATGGGATGGGATGGGATGGGATGGGATGCTCGGGGCGGGGCTTTCTTGAAAAAAGGTGCTGCCCCCTCAGCTTGCCAGGATCACTGTACATTGGGATTGGGGTAAAACAAGCATTTTGGACAAGCATTTGCCCTCCCACAAGAGTCTACGCTGATGAAAATTTTCAATTTTGGATCTCCGAAGTGTTCTGCATGGAGGGGAAGAAAGAAGAACAGGGTTTTGAACCAACAAAAGTCCAAAAATTGCCTGCAGACTGCCCCCCACCCTCAATGTCAGTGGGGCATTTCTGATATTACCTATATATTATCAGGGACGCTGCATATCCTGCAGGGTGGGTCTGGCAGGCAGCACCCACCTAGACTATTCTTTGTGGTTCTGGAATGGAAATGTCAATTATAACAAACAGAAGGTTTAAAATATTGAAGTGTTAAGGGGTACCACACTCCAAACATAGTTGCAAACTTATCATTCTGGTGATGCCATTGTGCTTGGGAGTGCTGAACACCCTGGTGAGTGCAGTGGGCAGGGGGCACAGGTGGGGGTGGGGAACGGGCAGGGTGGGGCGGGCGAAAGCACATACGCTACCCCTGGTGGAGGTAGGGGCAAAACTGCCAGGGGGCAGTAACCAGTGACAGAACTTTGCAATATGGGTTGCTTCTCCATTTCTCTTTATTAATTATTCTGTACCCCCACACCGTGCCCTGCTGCCTGTGGTCAACTGTGGGAGCAAGCAGAGGGAGGGACGGAGGAGCAGAAAACTAATAAAATACCAGTGCCGCCTATTGGCGACTACAGAACTAGCACAGCACGGCCTGGTGGTGAAGGAAAGTAATTACAAGGCTTTGAGAAGCTTAGTGTTTGCATGCCACAACTCCATAGACAGGGTGAGGTAAGCAGCAGCACCGCAAAATAAAACATGTCTGAGCAGTTTTACTTTAACCCACCAAAAAGACTTTTAAAGTGGCAGAAAATCCTGCTCATGCAAACACAAGTGCAGCTGCGGCAGCGTAAATGGGAAATCTCGTGGTGTGTACAAATGACCTAAATGCTAAATCACCATTTACTTTCCCCGTGCCATTCATGACTTGCATGGGATGGTTTGGATACGACTGATCCTGCCTCAAGCAAAGTGTTGGACTAGAAATGACCTCTGGAGGTACCTTCCAGATACTTCTCTAGGGCTCTATGACTTCAGTTCAGACAGACCTTAAATGGCTCGTGATCACAAGTCAGACAAGGGGACATGGAGGTCCCTTCTCACCAAAAAACCCTATAGAAAAGGACTACCCAAACCATCTCCAATGGGGAAAACATTTCCACTAGTCCCCATCCTTATGCAAATTTTGGAAGTGGAACTGAGCTCCTGCTGTTTGGGGGGGCAGAGAATGAGACAAACTCAAGCCTGAGACAGTTGGTGTAATATGTGAAGAATGGCCTGTGGCAGGGTTGAGGTTAGGGGCAGAAGTCACTGCTGTGCCCTGTTCCCTGGATCCTGGGTAACCATGCAGGTTGGCTACTGATAAAATAGGCAGAAACGGGTCTGCAGCCCAAACTTTTATTGGTTGCACTGCAAATACAAAAACAAACCCTTATCCCAAAGTCCATCTGACTGCCTGTAACACTACAACACAGATTCTTGCCTCTACTGCCTGGAGAGACTCAGCTGGGGTGGGGGAGTGGCATGCAGATTGGTACTAGGTCTTATTGAATCTGCTAAGCTCTCCAAATTTCCCTCCAGCCTATGTCCCATGTTCATAGGTGGTTGGTTCTAATATTCTAATAAATAACCTCAGATTGATTTTATTTCAATGTCTTTGTTTCACCAAAACTTTTGGAACTGGACTGAACCAGTTTACTTGTGGGCATAAAAGAAGTTGGATTTATGTTTCTGTGCAAGTTACCTTTGGAAGGACGGATTTCCTTTCTTCTTCCTTCACCAATATGGGGTACTGCTTGCCACCAGGGTGTTTTCTCTTCACTGAAATGTATGGTCTTCCATAAAAAGGCTGCTTTGTTTTTATAACTTATCTAAGAATCTTAACAGAAATATATCTGTTGTAGCAAAACACCACCTAATATATGTGGTTGCATCCATTACTATAAGATAAAGATATGATGTGAAATACTTGGATTATTTCATAAATGGTCTTCCCTTAGAATGTCTCCTTTCAGACCTTGTGCTCTTTAATTTCCTCTCATTCCTGGTTTAGTTGGACATGACGATGGCTCCCTTTACTTTGCTGACCATGCTGGTTGTCACATCTGCAAAGGTTTTTTCTATGGTCACACTAAAAAAGGTTTGGGGTTTTTTACTTAGCCACACTTCTGTAGCTTGGTCCAAGCCCCATGAAACTGGCCAAGGCCGGCACCAGCCCTTCCTCTTCTGAGCTGTCCACTGGCTTGTGTGGCCTCTGAAGCAAAGCAAAGCCAGCAGAAGCTCCTCTAATCTACAGGGCAGGGGCACCAGGGAGCCATACCCACAACTGTGAGCTGCCTGCAGCATGGACACCCTGTTATATTCACTCCAGCTCCTGGAATACTCCTAGACGGGAGCTCATTCTCTCCACAGGCCTATAAAGGAAAGCAAATCTGAACCTGAGTTGATGAGGTAAAGATTCCTCCACAATGAACCATGCTGGGGTTAATTTGTGCCCTGAAGGTCACCTTAGGGCTAAGTAACATGGTCCCAATCAAAAACCACAGGTGCTGTTCTTGGAAATGGGTGAGCAGTAGCATTTATATCAATAACTTAATTCACCAGCAGTGTTGCATGATACTGGAGAGTTCATTAGAAGGTAACCAATTTAACTATAACTATAGATAGGTGGGTTTTGCTTTGAGAATTACATTCAACTGATGGTATTTTTAAGGCCCTTATTTCTGAATACCTTGCAAAGAGGAGCTGTATACGGGGCATGGAAATGTGTTTGCAAACCTTAACGTGCCATGAATATTCAGATGAACATTTATTGATATGGAAATCCAGACCACACCCCTTAGATTCATAGATGTTAGGGTCGGAAGGGACCTCAATAGATCATCGAGTCCGACCCCCTGCATAGGCAGGAAAGAGGGCTGGGGCTAGATGACCCCAGCCAGGTGCCTATCTAACCTCCTCTTGAAGCCCCCCAGGGGGGGTCTTGCCTTACCCTCATTAGCAGAACTTCAGTGGAGGAGCACAAATATCATAATGGGACTGGGATGGATAAATGACATCCTATGAATACCTGAAATGTCCATCACAAGTGTTCAATGGACTCTTGTTAATCAAGAATATTTTAATGACCAGATCCTGCTTATGATAAGTGGCTTCTGAACAGAAGAGAGGTCTACATTTTTACTCGCTGTTAGCCAGAACAAACACCAGGCAGCAAACCAATCTTATTGTAAACCTGAGTTAAAAAAGAGGTCTGAAAATTGTAGCTCTAAATGTCAATGGAATCCAACGCACCATGTTTATAATAACCAGATCAAAACAGACCCATTTTTTCATAGGCTGTGTGGAGGGATGACTAAGAAATTTATACAAAGATAAATTCCTAGGCAGGAATATCAGAGTGTTAAAGTGTTTCAAGGAATCACAACCCACTTATGATGACTGAACCAAGGTAAGATCATTTAAGGAACAGAAATTAAGGTAATTTAATCATTATTATTTGAACCAGCTGTTGATTTTAGAAAATATCACTTCAAATGTCTGTAAAATATACTCTATTATAGAAACATCATTGTCAGCTTCTTCCCGGAGGTTATTTAGATGTTTCTGATAGCGGTCACTAATTTCCTGTAGCTCTTTCTCCATTTTTTGCTGAATGGCTTCCTTCTTCTCTTGGGTTTCTTGTTCTAGGGATGACAACACGGTCTGATCAACTGGGCCACATTTTTTTAACTCCTCTATTCTTTCCCTTAATTCCTCATCCACCGTCTTATGTTCCTCATACAGTTGAGATTTCTTTTCCTTTTCTTCCCTTTCCATCTTCTTATTGTAGGTTCTCCTGAGTTCTTCCATTTTCACTTCAAGCTTCTCCTGAGCATACTTGTACATGTCATTGGTGTAGTGCGCACCTCCATTCTTCCTCACCATCACATCAATCATTCCCATCATCTGTAAGACCTGGGCCTCCTGCTCCTGTCCTGTTGCTTTGTTGTTAAAAGCCAAGCAGCGCCTTCCACATTTTTTCAGCAGCTGCTGTAGCTTTTTGTCATCTAGTGCTTCTAAAAAGTGCTGAAATTCCTCCCCCTGTAAATCATCTTTTCTGGTGAACAAGACGATCATGTATTGAATGGCCTTTTCCCCAAATATATCTTGTATTCGGGCAACTGTCTTCTTCTCCTCCTCAGTGAAACGCCCCAGCTGCATGACCAGAACGATGGCGTGGGGACCTGGGGAGGAGACAACCACACAGTGCCCGATCTCTTGCATAGTTTCTACTAAGGGAATTTTTGTGTCAAACAGACCAGGAGTATCAACTACTACCAGGTTTCTGCCATCCCGCTTGTTCATCCCCTTAGTACATTCCTTTGTAACTGATTCAGCTGCAATTTGAGAGGCAAAATAATTCTCCCCCAGGATGGTGTTTCCTGTTGCACTTTTCCCACATCCAGTTTTACCAACGAGAACAATCCTCAGCTCAGATTTCCTGGGGCACTGGCGGTTGGAGCCTGGGCCTGTGGGGAGAAAGGGTCACCGGGTCACCATAAAGGCAGTCAAGTAACAGTAGCTGCTTCTGAGGTTTCTGCTTCTGTTCCTCGAGATGCTGTGAGGGCTTAGCTCACTGGCCTGGGGGTGCTGGACATTTTGGGACTGGGCAGCACAGGGAGGGGTGAGCATGGTCAGCCAGTTGTCCCTGGAGGCCTTAGTTCACCTCTCAGCGGGTCCCCTGCACAGAGTAGGGGCGGCTGGGCTGGAGTGGGGCAAGGCAGTGCTCAGCTCTCCCTGGTATCACAGCAGCAATATGGGGCACTGGTGGGATAGAAGCTGTGCTTCCTAGCTGTCACAGGAGTACAGGATTGAAAGGGATCTTGGGGGCATCCTGATGCACATCCAGCCTCATCTCAGAAACCCCTCCTAATGAGACTCCTGAACTGTCTCAGCAGATTGTTCCATCCACTGCTGTGATCACGCTTAGGGCAATTCTCCTGATATTTCTCCTAAATTTGGTCACCTGCAGTTTAAGCCACTGCCATGTGTCCTGCCCCTCATAACAAGAGAGGATTATGTGTATCCGTCTTCTTTATGGCAGCCTTTCGGGTACTGAGAAGCTGCTGTCTTGTCACCCTGGAATCAATTTTTCTCCAAATGAAATATACTTCCAGGCCTTCTCTTGTACGGCCACCTTCCAGCCCCTTTTCCCTCTCTGTCACTCGTCTCAGGATCTGCTGCAATGTCTCTACCATCTCCTTCAGATTCAGAGCCCTGAACTTCACATCATCCTGCAGCTGAGGTCTAATCAGCATCCAGCAGAGCTGGGCTCTCACTTCATTGCTACAACACTTCTGGTAATGCAACCCCAAATTGTATTTGTTGTTTTTTTGTAACAGCATAACACTTCTGGCTCACCTTGTCTCTGCAATGCACTGCCACCCCCAGACCTTTACAGCATTGCTGCTGGGATTTTAACCAGGGCACGATTTTCAGTCATGTGAGCAGGTGAGTGACCACTGACTCTACCTGGAGACTGGGGTGTTTCGTACCATGAGACATGGGCCTTTTGCCTATAATGTTATAGTTGTGAGGGTAAAAGAACTGGGGAAAAAGACTGGGAAAGAGAAGAAGAGGTAGTGAAATAGGACAAGGGGAAATGGGCAAAAAAGGGAGGAAAATCAGGAGTAGGCAGCAGGGAAACAGTAAAGGGAAAGGGAGGAACAAACAAGAAGCAGCTGCTTGTGGAGTTCCAGACAGGGGAAGCAGATGGCGAGTTGCCCAGGGCTCTCTCCCAGGTGGAGGAAGAATGAAGAGAGAAGAGCATGAATGCCCAACTATTTGAAGATGGATAACAGGAAGATCAACTGCGAGCTGCACCCATGGGGACTCTTGGAAGATGGTTGTCTCAGGTCCCTAGACATCCAATACCAGGGTCACTCCTCCCTTGGAGCTGAGCAACAGGTACGCACCTCTCACAGCACCAACAGAGACATCAGCAGCTGTACCAACTCTGGATGGGGGGAGGCAGCTAACTTCCACGCATAAAAAGAGACAAAGGGTGGTCGTGGTGGGTGACTCCCTCCTAAGAGGGACACAGGGAGCAATCTGCCCCCTCACCCTCTGACCCACGAGGTCTGCTGCCTCCCAGGGTCCTTTATCTGGGAGATGGCAGAGAGGATTTCTAAACTTGTCCAGCCCTCCAACCACTACCCCATGCTCCTCATCCACATGGGCATGAATGACACAGCTCAAAGCAATTCTGACTGGGTCAGGAGTGTCTAGAGGGCTCTGGGGGCTGGGCTTTGAGGGTTGGGAGTGTAGGTAGTTTTCTCCTTGCTCCTTCTGGTTATGGGTCACAGTCAACAGAAGACTGCAGCATTGCTGCCACAGGTCATTTTCTTACCTTTTCCCTTTTCCTGCAATTTCCGTTGCTGAAAAGTTTGTTTGAAAAAATGAAGTTAATACAAAGCTGCAACACAACACCAATGTACAGATATGAGTTCCCAGCCCTCTTCTTAATGCCCCTGTGAAGCACTCAGCAGCCCCTCTGCTCATGAACCAGGGGGGGATGGAGCTGAACACTAGACCACACCCAACCCTCATCCTCACTGCCCAGACACGGCTCCCAGCAGCTGGTCCCTGCAGCATCTCCATCACATCCAGCCCCTGGTTCAGGGCTGGGGAATAGAGCAAAGAGGGGAGGAAGCCACAAACCATGGTTCAACCAGGGTCCTATGAAGGGACAGGCAGGATTTGTAGTGTGAGGTGAGAGACACCTGGGCAGGACTTGCAAGATAAACCCAGAGATTTCAAATAGGAATGCAGAGCATCCAAACCATTCTGGCTGCTGTTGCTTTGCTGAGTTCCTGGCAACAGAAGAATAGGCCTAGTATTTTCCTGGAGTTAATAAAGGGGTGAAAGCTGAGAGCTGTTGTTTTCTGAGGTGGGCTTGGGTCTAAACAGGTTGAGAACCACTGAACTAGAATATGCAGTACAAGGGCTGGTGTGATACTCACTGAACTCGCATTTCCTCCCATAGCAGTGTCAGCTGTCACCTACGGAACAAAAACAGAAGCATTAGACTTCCAAGAACGTCTTTTCCTAATGGCACAGAAGTCAGAGGAAATGCACAGAAATGCCCTGGGAGGAGAGGCCACCTCGCAAATGCAGAGTGCAGCTCCTGCCCCCACAAAGAGATGTGAGAGCTGCAGAAAGAGGGAGTGATTCAGAGTTGGGGAGAGTGACAGTCCATTTGGATGTTTCTTGACAGCAGTTACTGAAAGTTTTGCAAGTAACAAGTTGTTTTTGAATTTCTGTTAAAGAAGTTAACATTAGGATCTCATCCATGCTTAGGGCAATTCCTCTGTCACTGCTAAGACACTTCAGGGACTTGCAAAATGTTTACTCACTGTACAATATTCTTAGTCTTAGGTGTAAACGTCTTGTGTTGTATCAGGGCTGCTAGTGCAGTTTTCCTAATGAGTTAGACAATGGATTTTCCTGGGACAGTTTGGACAGGGCTGATCCTGCCTCAGGCAGGGGTTGGACCAGATGTGACTTCTGCAGGGCTTTTCCACCCCACTGCTCTGGGATTGCATGGTTCATTTATGGGCTTGAGTCTCCTGGAAGCAGTTACAGTTTAGCTTTCTACATTCACTGCACCTGTTTGGCAGCTGTTTAGTGCTGCATTTTACAGGCCTAAGTCTGTTTGCACACACTTTCACTCTCTTGTGAGTCTACCCCACTGAGGATGCACAGAGGCACAGGGCAAATTTGCAGCTGACCTAGGAGCAGGAGAGGGTGTTTCTCAATCTGACCTTTTGCCCCATGGCCAAGTGGTTAGAGCAGGGCAAAAGGGGACAGCCGAGACTGGGGAGTGCAGGTCCTAGGCTCACCTGCTCCTAAGGGCATGGGATGCTCCCACATCACAGTGGAAAACCCTAATCACCCAGCAAGGCTGAGAGCACCTTCCTGGTGTGGCCAGGTCAGGGGCAAAGAAGAGGGAAGGCATCTTGGGGACAGCAGGGCTTTGTGTGACTCAAGGTGAGGTGTTGCTCTGTGGGATGTGAGCCCCTGATTCCACTGTCCACCCTGGCCAAACCATCCCACACAAATCTAATGTCCAACCTCTTAGCAAAACTACACAGTCAACCTTCACTCAACACAAGCCTTCACAGCTGCACCTAACCCCACTGCTTCAGAGATCCCAGGAGGAGGGCCATGCCCTGCTGTAGAGGAAGGGAAAGTCTTCATAGTCTGCACCAATCTGAATGGTGGTAAAGTTCCTTCCAGACCCCAAATGCAGCACCAATCTGAGCCTGAGCAGAGGGGCAAGACCCTGTAGCCAGGTGTTACTTTAAATTTCAATTTATCAAAGCAAGAGCAAGATCTTATAAAGGGGGATAAGGCAAAATGCTGTGTTTATTGATTACATGAATTAGCCGTACATGTTCGGACAAACCACTCATATAGACACACACAAATCCTCATCCATATCATTACACACAGGCACACACAAACACAAAACAACCATTCCATTCAGACAATATAGTTACCAGCAGCAGTTGTTCAATAATAGCACTGGGTTGCCAGCCCAGGCCTATTGAGAGAAGATGCAGATAGTGTTCCCCCCACCCCAGACAGACACAGTTGCACAGGGCTACGACCCCTGCAGTTTTCACCCCCCTGTGGTGTAACACATAGACGTGACATGAGTTTTGCTTTCAGGAATTTGGGGTGCAGTTGTAGTAGAAAGCCCCCTTTTCCTCTTGCCTGCATTTGCTCTCCCCTCTTTGGATATGTTTCTCTTCTTCTACCTTTTTGTCCTTCCTCTTTCTTTCACTATAAGATAAGGAATTGTGTTTTAAAGTCTGTATTTGTGTATTTTGTATCTCCTCTTGTATTTTGGTATTTTTATCTATTTGTGGGCCATGGCATATACTTTATACTCTTCACCTTTTAACTAAATGTGTTTAGCTTCATAAGTAAATTGTACATTGTAACAATGTTAACAAGGGCAGGAATCAAACTGCCCTTCCCTGTATCAGGCTGGCCCCTGAAAGAGCGAGTGAATCAGTGAGTGAATGTGTAACACAGTAGCAGGCTTCAGTAACAGGGGTCAATTAACACCTATGAAAACCACAGATCAACCAAGGGAAGAAATCAATAGGAGACAATGTAGCAACCGGGAATTCTCTAAACTTCACTGTTCAAGGGCTAGAAACCCCGGTCTGAGTTAATCAATGCCGGGGACCAACTTTTGGGCTGAATATCTCCAGATCGACTGCTCCCAGAGCCCTATTCATGACAGTGGTAAATTAATCAAAAGTCATCAATGGACTCCCAAACCTGCACGTACATGCGGAAGACCCCAGGGGCTGAGAGATGCCATCCAGTAGCCACTGAGGGGGAAGTCCCATGAGCATCAAAGACCCCTGGATTGGGCAAACCTGAAAACTGGGGAGTCACCAAAGTCTGCCAGGGACAGATGAAAAGCAGTAAAAAGTGACCCTCATCAGCGCCCTCTTGATCTCCAACTTGACCAGCACCCGACCTGCCCAGCCAGAAGGACCAGCTGGCGACCCCCTTCTGGAGGATAACACCACGCTGGAAGAAGCCTCAACTGGCCATTGATGGCAGACTCCGCCGCCTGTGGCATAGGTATACCCGACTCATGTAACTCACTACTGTGTGTGTGCATGTGTGTGCGTGTGGGTGGGGACCAGCCCCAAGGTTTATGATTTAACTCATTACAGTGTTTCAATCTGCCTAATAAACCGGAATTTTAAGGATCCCGAGTTGGACATTTGTAGCCAACACAGTTAACCCTGAACCCCTGCACCGATCTTCTTGAAAATTGGTAGACTTCATGCCCTCAGTAGTGGCTACCAACCCAGCATGTTTCATCCAAATCAGACATAAATCAACAAAGTTATAGATATTTCATTGATTGTCCATTATACTCTATGGCCAAATTGCCAAATAGGCTCTGAATCTTTTCCAAAGTGATTTGGAAGCTCCGAATTGATTCGGAAAGCCTAAAGCTTCCAGCAATTCAATTTGATTCATAGATTTAGCCTCTGAATTATCCAAATCATCTCTGGATCCAAAGCATTGCACAGCCCTAGCTACTGCACATATTTGGCCATTCAGTGCAAGTCCATCTCCATCAGCTGTAGTTCTGATGCACTAAGGATGCACACAAATACAATGTGAAGCCCCAAAATTGGAGCTAATCAAAGAGCAAGTGAGTGTATCCATCTCACCCACTTGTTGCCAGGCAACCTAGTGGTGAGAACACCCACCTGAGACTGTGGGGTGCAAGGTCCAGGCTCCCCTTCCCCTGTGGGAATTCACATCTTTCCCATGAGACTGGAACAACCTAGTCCCAAGCCAGGCTGAGAGCCCCTTCCTGGTGGGGCCAGGCCACTGGTCAGCTGGGAGGGATAGCACCATGGGGACACAAGGGGAACAAGCAGGAGGGAGCCTGAGTGTGTGGCCCAGAGAGCTGGGAGAAAATGATCCCTTGCTCCTACTGCTGTGTGAGCATTTTGCAGGACAGCTTTGCGAAATAAAGATTACTGACCCTTTTGTTTCAGGTCATCCACTGCACTGCAGGCCAGCGTCCCCTCCTGCTAGCGCATAGGTGCCTGAACTGGGTCAGATCCTGCCTTCTGCACCTAAAACATAGTCCAGAATATTGCCATGATTGACAATGGCCTCACCCCAGATGCAAAGCAATGTCTGTGAGATGCCTGGCATGGAAGTCACAGGGTAAAAGGAACAGCCTTGGGACATGGGCCCTGACTCCAGGCTTCCCTCCCTTCAAGGACAGGGACATCTTCCCTGGGACTTGGAGTCTGAAGCCTTCTTGTTTGTTGTCCTGGCCCTATGACTCTTTTGTGCTTGGCTGTCAAGTGGTCCAGCTCCAAGAGGAAGGGGTGGAAGGTGCCCATCGCTCTGTCCGCTCCATGTGTTTTGGACATTAAGGTGGGCACTTGGTTTAGGTCTAGGAAGTGGGGGTTCAAATGCCTGTGGATGGAGAGGGACCTAGAATGCCAGTTCCCTGTGCAGCTCTAACACTGCACTGTGTCTGAAGGAAGAGATTCCTCTTGCTGCTCAAATAGATACCTGCTGGCCCAAGGCAAGGAAGCCTTGCTGAGCAGTGCAGGTGTATGCACCCAAAGGGAAGCAGGACTTCAAGCAAAAGGACATCTCAGCACTGGGAAAAATCTTTCACTGGGAGAAATGCAGAGCAAGGCACCTTCTCTATAGCTGAAGATCCATGTCCAGAAGGGTCTACGTGCTGCCAGCTGGTATGAAGGGGAGACCTAGGAGCTTCTGATGCCATAATAACCTGAGCAGCCTGGCACCTCCAAGCATGGGCAAATGCAGTGACATATTCTGAAGCTTGCGATCCTGCCCCATTCACCTGGGTTGTGTGGTGGCTTAGCCAACCTACCCTATACCCTAGCCATGGACTACAAGAGTGAGAATTTTTTTACTATGCAACAAACTATTTCATATCTCTTGAACATGATTTTTAATTTATAGCACAGCATTTGAGTTTACCAAAGTGGGAGGGGAAAAGGGAAGAGTCAGGTGAACAGAAGGCCGTGTATTCATTTCCAGAGGTAGTTACCATGTTAGTCTAGAGTCAGGCAGAAAACAGACGGGGGTGGCACCTCAGAGACTGACTGACTGAGTTATTCTTTAAAGTGCCGCCCTGCCCTGCCTTCACTTTTCAGTTACAGAAAAGAGCTAACAGGAAAAGAAAAAGTGAGCAGAATATGCTGCTATTTACTTTTCAATGCCGTTCAAAACATTGTTTCCAATGTCTCCTAAATTTAATTCAATTTAAGTCAAAAAAGTACTTTAAATAAAGCTGAAATAACCATGCAAAATTTGTTGTACACACACACACACACACACACACACACACATGCAAACACAGAACACACACACTCCATTTTACCTCCTCTGTGCTGCTTGGCCAGTGACTCAGGACAATGGGCACGAGTTCACTCGGGTGATTCTGCAGGGCGAGCAGTTTTGCAGGCACTCAGGACTCAATGCAGCGTTTCCAGGTGAAGACTGAACAAACTTACAGCCACCCTGTGAGAATGTATGTGCTTGTGTGCATCTACAAGGAGTAAGGGCACTGAGGAACAAATCCCCTCTTGCACGTCTCAGCCTTGGGTGAGTGAGTCTAAGCAGAGGTTTTCATGGGCAGATCAGTCTTCACAAGCAGCAGCACCAAAGAGGCTTCTCACTGACGTGAAAGTTCCTGTTGTTGGAGGGAGGAGCATCAGCGTCACTGCTTGTTAGGACAGATGCAGCCCCAGGGTTGGCAGGGAGAGAGCAGCCTGACTTCCCATTTGGAGAGACATGTTCCAGTATATCTATGCTGATGGGTATCCAGGATCACTTTTAAACATGACAAAAATTGGACTTTTTTGCAGTTTATTTGCATTATACTTTACACATATGGGGAGGTTGTTTTGTGATTTAAATGAATTCATTGTGTTGCAAAATAAACCACATCCTGATGTATTTTAGTTTGCAATAATGCAACAGCTACTGATCTGTCAGGTGTAGATGGTAATTCACTGAATAACATGTAATGAGCCCCTTTGTCTACTGGATGTCACTTCAATTTGCAGGTATTTGTGTGTAGTGGGTATTTTTGGACACCAGGCGTAGCAGGCTAGACCCATATGAAACAATCTTCGACGTACATGGACCCTCACGTCCACCCCGCACAGCCCTGGTTAGAATGCCCTCTTGGGCTGTGCTGCCCCTGGCTCCCCAAGGGGAGCCCTGGTTGCTGGGGACACCATTGGCACATAATCTACCCCTGGTTCATGCAAGGAATTAATAACCACTTGGCCACCTGGGAGCAGCTCGAGGATGCTTGGGCCCCACACAGTGCACAGGTAGCTCCTGGAGAGTCAACCCTGGGAGCAACTCAAGGCTGCTCAAGTTAGCCCCGGCTCTAGGCCAGGTAACCGGAGCCCCATAGTGTGGCTCAGCATTAAACTAAAAGAGCCCCAGTGCCCAGAGCAGGGCCTAGGAAGGGGAAAGACCTCGGGCACGTGGCTGGGGAACCAGAGCCAGTTAGGGCTCAGCTCCCATAGGAGCTCCCTGGGTGCCCAGTGCATGGCACAGGACCCAGAGGGATGGGCCCTCAACTCGAGGCCGATGGCTTCAGGAGGCCTGAGACAGTGTGGGGATCCAGAAGCCAGATCGACAGCCCCCCCAGAGGAAGGACCGTGAGTTACCAGGAACCTGGGTCCCACAGGAGAGGCACCCCTGGGCAAAGGACCCTGGGAAGAGTGGGCTGGGGGAAACACCCCACACACCCTGTGCTCTCCAAGGTGGGAGGGGAGTAGACCCCAAATATACACTGGGGAGGGCTCTGTGGAACACCCAGGGAGCCTAGGGGGAGAAGACATTATCCCATTTAAGGGACCAAGTGGTTGGAACCCAGATAGGGTGTGTTTAATATCTGGGATAGTTATGATTTTTATTTGGTATCTGTTGTTATTGTTAGTGTTATAAATAGTTCGGTGTATTAATTCTGTATAATGGGCTCTGTAAGGATGTCTTTATTAGCTAACCCACTTGTGGTACAAACTTGCTAGATTGACTGTCCTGGAAGCCACCCCTCTTCTGGGCCTGGGGCATGGGTATCTACCCGAATGCCCTCCTGGGGCAGACTTCCTCTTGCTAACAGATCTTTATATGAATATTTGTATTTATACCTGTAACTCTATCAATTTTAAAGAGTTTTATATATAAATGTTTGTAACTTGATAAATTGTGTATAGTTAAGAACATTGGGCCTTGGCTAACTCTATAGAGGAAAGAGGGATCCTCCCTCTCACAGCACCCCCTCCTACTTATCCACCCCATCTTATGGAGAATAGGGCACACCCCTGAGCGTACCTAGGTTACACAGGACCATCCCCAACTACACCATCCCAACCAAGGCTGTGTCTGCCCAGGTCTTAAAAACCTCCAAGGATGTAGATTCCACTACCTCTCTGGGGGCATGTGTACATGAGATGCTCTATTGCACAGTAGACAAATTTACCGCACAGTAAGCATCACCATCTACATGTGCAGATGCTTACTGCACAGTAAATTGGTCTACTTGGTGGCTAAATTGCTAGCTGCAAATGTAGGTAGCAAATTAACTGTGGAGTAATTACTTAGCTTTAACACATATGTAGACACCAACTGGGAGCAAATTTGCTCCCAGTCAGCCCCATCCCCAGGGGGCCATGTGGAGGGTAGGTCATGAGGCTTGGCGCTTTCCCATCCCAGGGATAGGGGGTGGCCCTTAAAAGACTTCAGGGACTCTGAGGCCCTGGGGCATCTTCAGCCAGCCTCTGGTCACCCAGTCCCTCACCAGTGGCCCACAGCAATCCAAAACAGCCTGCCTGGCCCCCAGTGCTGGTCCCCAGTACAATGCCACCACTTGGCTGCCTGCCCTGTGCTCTGTTGCTGTTCTGGGTGCTGCATACACCCACCCAGGTGCAGCAGCACCCAGACTGTTGCACACAGGTCCTGTGGGCCATCAAGGAAGCCATGCTGGCATTGTCCCTAATACCACATGCCACCTCCTGGGGCTGGAACTGGTCTCAGGAGGAGACTGCAGACCTCATGGCACTGTGGGGTGAGGCCAAGGTCCTGATCCAGGTCACCTGGAGTGGGCTCTCCAAGGAAGTACGGAACCAGTAGGCCAGGGTTCCAGTGCAGATAAAGGTCAAGGCCTTGGGGGAACAGTGGGTCAGCATCACCAACCACAATCAGTGGTCAGCAGCTGCCCACAAGTCCATGACCTTTCCACGGCAGCTGAACCAGATCCTCATGCCCTGGGACCCTGGCTGGAGCCATGCCATGTACTCCAGCACAGACAGCCTGCCTGAGCCTCCACTGCAGCTTGGCAGCAGTGACAAGGGGTTAGTGGGGGAGGGCCCCTCAGGGTGTCAGGAGCCCATCCCGCAATGCTGCCCACACCCAGCATCGTCCAACAGCTCCAGCAGCCTAGGTCAGTGCCTGCCCTGCAAGCTCTGGATGTTCAGCCCCACCCAGGAGGCCAGCCCAGCCATGGCACCACCAGCCCCCAGCAGCTCCTCCCAAGAGGGGGCCTCTGCCCAGGGAGCCAGGTACCGCACCCCTGACCCCCAGAACCCCACTGGGAGCTGCATGTTGTCACTGCCAGTGGGGATAGACTTGGGCCACTGGACATGCCTGCCACATCCATCCAGTAAGCCTGGAACTGAGGAGAGAAGTCTCCCTGTCCCTTCCCCTGCCCCTACCCCTGCCCCTGCCCTTGCCCTGGATCCTTCCCCTGCCCCAGCCACCTCCCAAATGGCCCAGCTGCACTCCCCTAGGCCCCAGAATTACACCCCCCAGCATGCAGGAAGGTGGTAGGGAGTGAAATACTTTATTGAGCAGCCTGTGCCCCTCCAGCTGGGCAGGCATGAGCTTCTCACATGCAGAGGAATGCATTGATGTTAGCGGCAATGTTATCCTTTGTTGCACGGGGCAGTGATGTGTACTGCAGGCACAGCTAAGCCCTGCAGGTGGCATTGGATGTTGAAGGCCAGGGCAGGCTTGCCCAGTGCACTGTTGAAGCTCTGGTTCCCAAGACAGCTTCTCAGGTTCACCTGGGGCACCATAGTGAGCAGCAGCAGCTGGGCATAGTGGGTTGGGCACCTATCAGTCCATGAAAACACCTCCTCACAGCATTCCTCAGGCAGTCTCGGCAGGGGCATACTCAGGGTACAGGGCAGGCATGGGAGGGGCAGTCCCAGGATGCCTCTCTACAGCAGCCCCCGGGGGGGGGGGGGGCATAGCTAGCCCCATGTCCCAGTCAACCGGGAGCGCCTCACCCCCTAAGCCCAGATGCTGTGGTCCTGGTGGTAACAGAGGAGACGGCCTGGCCTGCAATAGGAGAAGGTGGGGAATGGGTCTGGAGCCATGGCAGCACATGCTGCCAGGAGGCAGGCCTGTCCTGGTGTGCAAAGGGGGTGAGGAAGGTAGGCTGCCAGCAGCAACAATCAAGCATCCCACCTGCCCTTGCAGAGTGAGTGGTGATAGGGACTCAGCTGGAGCTACCTGTGCCAGGACCTTCCTGGCCAACTTTCAATGGTCTCTGTGCACCTGTGCATGCACAACTCCTGATCTAAGGCCAGGTAGTACACAACCCCCTGGTACTGAGCATGTTATGCCAGAAATGTTGAAAACTCTCACAAAGAGCAATGCTGCTGGCACTGTCCTGTGCAGCTACCCACACAGCACCATGCTGAACCATCCAGCGTGTTAGACATGACATATAAGACATCTAGCCATCACTGAATACCAGGGAGAATAAGTTCCCAACCTGACTGTTGCTCCTTTGAAAATCTCCCTCCTGGTCCATACTGCATGAATGTAGAAGCTAGGAGCCCAGTCCCACATCAGACCTGATAGCATGGATATGATGCCAGGGGTAGGTCTTCAGTTGTGCAGTAAAGGACCCAACAAAGAACAAGATCAGAGCAGTGCTGTGCCTTCAGTTTATCAGGTGTTTTCAATTTATGCCTCATGCTCCAAAGCAGCTAGACTCACAGAAAATGACAAAGTTCTTCTGACTTGTCCTTTTTAGCAATGACTTCATGTGAACCCTGGATTAAACTGGTGTGAAAATGAAAAAAAAAAAAAAAAGAAAGAGAACAATCTGGTGGTGGAAACTGCCATCCACATATAGCCGATCCAATGTAAGATACCCCTCAAAGAAATCCTCACTTCCCGTAATGTTTGGCACCCTACAACAAGCTACTGGCAAGTTCAACTGGCCACTGGGCAGCCCAGAGAGGGAGGTATGTGGGACCAGGAGGAAGAGAGCAATGTAACGTTTCTCCATGCATAACCATGTCTAACCTTGCCAAGTGATATCACATGACATTTCAGAAAAACTTGACCCCAGGGCTTCCTCACTAAAACACCCTGTGTGCTGGACCATGAGGCCTGCTGCACCCCGCACAGCCCCCGAACAAAAGACAAGGCCAGATTCTCAACCCATGCTAGGTATTCTTCATGCTCCTCTACCTGCTCATTCTTGGCACAGCTGAGAATCAGCCTCTGTGCATGTACACTGTGACAGCATGTTCGAAAGCCGATGATCTTGTAAGGTCCCTTCCAGCCCCTAACATCTGTGAATCTATGAATCAATTAATAGAAACCC